ATCAGACCTTAAACACGGTAGGACCAACACCTCGGCCGTAGCAGATCATTGTTCTAATTCAGTAGGCTCACATGCCATTGACTTTTCCAAGACAGAGGTTCTTTGTAAGCCATCTGGCTTCCATGAGAGATTCGTTCATGAGGCTATCCACATATACAAGCACAGAGACAATTTCAACCGAGAAGATGGATTCTATCTTAGCAATCATTGGAAACATTTGATAAACCATTTCAGGTCTTAATTGATTGTTCACGCTTACAGTGGCTTTCAGACAGCATACATTATAAAAAATTTCGTCTCCCCCCTCCTCTTTTCAAAAAAATAGATGGACTAGTCCTGGGCAAACTGCCAATCGCTGCGCGTGACGCCAACGTTTTTTATAAATAAATAAATGTACCGTTTTAAAAATAAATTTATGCAAACCGACACACCTGATGATGACCGTTTGAGTTATGGTCGAAACGTCGTGAGAATTTTTTTTATTGTTTTATATATTTTGTTATTTTGTTGTTTCTCTTCAACGTGACTTTACCGAAAAAACTAAGAATAATAATAAGGGAAACAATAAAATAATAAAAACATTAAACAATAAAATTATTATATAAATTTATGCAAACCGACACACCTGATGATGACCGTTTGAGTTATGGTCGAAACGTCGTGAGAATTTTTTATTGTTTTATATATATTTTGTTATTTTGTTGTTTCTCTTCAACGTGACTTTACCGAAAAAACTAAGAATATGAATTACTGCAGTCACGAAAGCTTTAAATCAAAATAAAATTATTGTAAAACAATAAAATTATTATTCTTGGATCTTTCGGTAAAGTCACCACGTAGAAGGGAAGCAATAAAATAATAAAAACATAAAACAATAAAATTATTGTAAAACAATAAAATTATTATTCTTGGTTCTTTCGGTAAAGTCACCACGTAGAAGGGAAACAATAAAATAATAAAAACATAAAACAATACAATTATCGTAAAACAATAAAATTATTATACTTGGTTCTTTCGGTAAAGTCACCACGTAGAAGGGAAACAATAAAATAAAAAAATATATAAAACAATAAAATTATTGTAAAACAATAAAATTATTATTCTTGGTTCTTTCTGTAAAGTCACCACGTAGAAGGGAAACAATAAAATAATAAAAACATTAAACAATAAAATTATTGTAAAACAATAAAATTATTATTCTTGGATCTTTCGGTAAAGTCACCACGTAGAAGGGAAACAATAAAATAATAAAAACATAAAAAATATTGTAAAACAATAAAATTATTATTCTTGGTTCTTTCGGTAAAGTCACCACGTAGAAGGGAAACAATAAAATAATAAAAATATAAACAATACAATTATTGTAAAACAATAAAATTATTATACTTGGTTCTTTCGGTAAAGTCACCACGTAGAAGGGAAACAATAAAATAAAAAAAATATATAAAACAATAAAATTATTGTAAAACAATAAAATTATTATTCTTGGTTCTTTCTGTAAAGTCACCACGTAGAAGGGAAACAATAAAATAATAAAAACATTAAACAATAAAATTATTGTAAAACAATAAAATTATTATTCTTGGATCTTTCGGTAAAGTCACCACGTAGAAGGGAAACAATAAAATAAAAAAATATATAAAACAATATAATTATTGTAAAACAATAAAATTATTATTCTTGGTTCTTTCGGTAAAGTCACCACGTAGAAGGGAAACAATAAAATAATAAAAATATAAAACAATAAAATTATTGTAAAACAATAAAATTATTATTCTTGGTTCTTTCGGTAAAGTCACCACGTTAGAAGGGAAACAATACAACAATAAAAATATAAAACAATAAAATTTTCACGACGTTTCGACCGCAACACAAGCAATCGTCATCATCAGGTGTGAAAACCACAGCAAGAAAATTTGGAAAAAGTGGCGGGTTTTTTTATCACCTTAGCTTATTCACGTAGGGCCTTGTATCCAAGGCGCTTTCAAAAATAATTCTAAATGGTGATTTGAAGCTTTTGTGACCGCAGGAATCAACACTCTGTGGTTCTTTCGGTAAAGTTCACGTCGTAGGTAGGTAGGACACAATATAAATCACGGCGTTGCGATTGCAACAAAAAAATATAATACAGCAGTAGAACTGCTGAATAGCAGTTGCACTGCCGGATTATATTTTTCCGCTCGATCTTCTTCTGCGTGAGTGTAAAAATCCAAAATCCACCCGCTCATGAATATGAATGATTGGGGGGGGGGGGGCATGTGGAGTGACGTCACGCGCGTTACACACAAACAGACATTCTTGGCTCAATCTTGATTTGAAGCTTTCCAGCAGTGCACCTGCTGCGTAGCAGTTGCACTGCTGGATTTTATATATATATATTTTTTTTACACCCCGAGGACGACCGCTTGTGTTGAGATCGAAACGCCGTGATTTGTTTTACTTTCTACCTCCGTGACTTTACCGAGAGAAGCACAGAGTATGGTTATATAAATGGTCTATGTCAGTTCGCTAGAAGTGATGCGGTGCCATGTGAAAGCTGGAGGGGAAACGAGGGGAGGGGGATTAGGCATGGGGGTATGGGGAGGGAGCTTTAAGCGGGGAGCGGGAATTGCGGTGGGTACCTCGGGGATGGACGGGAAGGATGGGGCCAGGCAGAAGAGGTGTGGGAGTTTTTACATTATGAGACCTCCTTTGTCTTCTGGTCCAACACCAGTGGAGACTAAAGGGCTCTAAGAAAAGCCGTCTCGGGTGTGGACCGATCAAATTCAAGGACAGTGCCAATATTATTATCAGAGTTGTCTCTTTTGTAGTTTGCATTTTGACTGCTTGTGTTGTGGTTATTGCAAACACGATGCCTTGAATAAAGGTGTCAGTTTTTGTGCCGGTTAAAAAAAGGGTAAAAACCTATTTCTATAGGTGTGGGGGGTCTTGAGCGAGGAGCGGAAACTTGACGGGGATAGAGAGAGAGAGAGAGAAGAGGGTCGCCTCTCGCTTCACGTGGAGGGGAAGTTCGTCGCGGTTGCAGCGATGGCAAAGGAGGGAAACGGAGCGGAAGCGGCGGGTTGGGCACAAGGAGTCGGAGAAGGTCGAGGGCGGAGCGGGCGGGAGGGGACAGACGCAGACGACTCTGCGGGTGGGTCCCAGCTGGTGCGATGCCAACTTACATGGCCAGACGTTTTCGTTGCGCCGCGAGATCGTCACCGACGATGGTGAGACAAGGGGTACCTCTGCGGATGTGTACACTTTAACTTAGCTGTTTCAATGAGCCATTCCAATGCTAAATTATATGCTAATTCCTTTGTCAAGCGCTTGGTCTTTTTCTACTCACACAGCTTAAAGGTCGTGATCTAAGCGTGGCTTCTTCCACTCCAGCGCGAATTCCTTTGTCAAGGGGTACCTCTGCGGATGTGTATACTTTAACTTAGCTATTTCAATGAGCCATTTCAATGCTAAATTATATGCTAATTCCTTTGTCAAGGCGCTTGGTCTTTTTCTTCTCACACAGCTTAAAGCTCGTGTTCTAAGTGTGGCTTCTTCCACTCCACCGCTGTCCTTCAGACAGTCTCGTCCCTTCACCTGATGAAGGCCGCTTGTGTTGTGGCCGAAACGTCGTGATTTTTTTGTTATTTTATTTTCACCTACGTGACTTTACCCAATAGAACCAAAGAGTATAGAGACAAGAATACTCTTTGGTTCTTTGGGTAAAGTCACACGGGGTATAAAATTAAAATGTGATGTATTTTGTTTTCTACCCACTGCGTGACTTTACCGAAAGATTTCGATTTAAAGCTTTCGTGACTGCAAGGATTCATCTTCTTTGGTTCTTTCGGTAAAGTCACCACCACGTAGAATGAGAATAAAATAATAAATTGAAAAAATAAAATAACACGAAAGAACCAAAGAGTATGGATTCCTGCAGCCACGAAAGCTTCAAATCAACATTGAGTCAAGAATGTCTGTCTGTGTGTAACGCGCGTGACGTCACTCAACATGCCACACCCCCCCGTCATTAATATTCATGAGCGGGTGGATTTTGACACTCACGCAGGAGGTCGAGCGGAAATCAATTTTTTTTCGCAAATTCGCTTTAAATTTGACATTTCTTTATTGAAAGTGAATCTAATTAATAATTATACGCAGCAACAAAGTGGATTTGGTGTCTTTATTTATTTCTTCAGCACTTGAGACGAAAGGCAAGTCTAGTTTTTGCTTCTACATTATGGTAAAAAAGACATTTCTCGGTGATTTTCCAGAATATTGTATCGAATTCCAATTTATTTCAACCCCAGCGACCGAAATCAGAAGAGAATAAAGTACCAGAGCAGTGAATTTGAACAAATTGAAGGTCAGTTATATACAGTGCTACAGTGACATTAAGTGAGGTGTTTTATGTAATAGTTTCGTGCAAGATTCACTGCCATTAAATTGACACAGGATACAATGATACTCTGGACAATTTTGTCGTAAATATCACAGCTTCCGTCCTAGGATGGGCAAACGAGCTAGTGATCAAATATTCATCAACTAAAACACATTGATTTTCATTAGTTTATTGTTACCAGGTGTGTTAGGCCCCACTGAGCTGCTGAGGAGTAGCTCTTTTTTCAGAGGCCACACTGGCGATCGCAAATGATATCTGCCCGACGAGGTGGCTTATCATCATCATCGTGTGGAAATGTATTTCAGCAGCCAACTACTCTAAACGCAGGTTGACGTTGCTTCTAAATGTGGAGGTGAACCCTGGAGGACCCGCAGAAAAATCCACGCCACCACCACGGGGAGAAAGAGATGCAGACTCCAAATCTAAAGCAGCAGGTACGGTCAGGGTCGGGATTGAACCCACGACCTCCTGTATACCAGGCGAGGTAGTTAACATCTCATAGCCACCGTGATGATGATGATGACGATGAGAGAGAGACGCAGACTCCAAATCTACAGCAGCAGGTACCGTCAGGGTCGGGGATCGAACCCATGACCTCCTGCACACCAGGGGAGGTAGTTAACATTTCCCAGCCACTGTGATGCACGCGTGCCCCCCCACCCCCCGTTCCGCAAGTCAACGAATGCGAGTTTGGTGTCGACGCCGATGTTTCTGCTTCCAAGCGTGGAGAGCGACGCGCAGGGTGGCGACAAGGAGCAGGCCGAAGATGGCGCCGATCGCCGAACTTGCCATCGCCTCCACCGTCAGCCTGTTGGGGGCTGGGAGAAGACGCACACGGACATCGTCGCTACACACGACACGTCATAGCTACACACGGCACGTCATCGGTTCTATTGTCGGCCTATTGAGGGCTGTGAGAACACACAGGAACATCGTGGCTACACGCAGGAACATCGTGGCTACACGCAGGAACATCGTGGCTACACACAGGAACATCGTGGCTACACGCAGGAACATCGTGGCTACACAGGAACATCGTGGCTACACACAGGAACATCGTGGCTACACACAGGAACATCGTGGCTACACGCAGGAACATCGTGGCTACACGCAGGAACATCGTGGCTACACGCAGGAACATCGTGGCTACACAGGAACATCGTGGCTACACACAGGAACATCGTGGCTACACACAGGAACATCGTGGCTACACGCAGGAACATCGTGGCTACACGCAGGAACATCGTGGCTACACACAGGAACATCGTGGCTACACGCAGGAACATCGTGGCTACATGCAGGAACATCGTGGCTACACGCAGGAACATCGTGGCTACACGCAGGAACATCGTGGCTACACGCAGGAACATCGTGGCTACACACAGGAACATCGTGGCTACACGCAGGAACATCGTGGCTACACACAGGAACATCGTGGCTACACGCAGGAACATCGTGGCTACACAGGAACATCGTGGCTACACACAGGAACATCGTGGCTACACGCAGGAACATCGGGACTACACGCAGGAACATCGTGGCTACACGCAGGAACATCGTGGCTACACAGGAACATCGTGGCTACATGCAGGAACATCGTGGCTACACACAGGAACATCGTGGCTACACGCAGGAACATCGTGGCTACACAGGAACATCGTGGCTACACGCAGGAACATCGTGGCTACACGCAGGAACATCGTGGCTACACGCAGGAACATCGTGGCTACACACAGGAACATCGTGGCTACACACAGGAACATCGTGGCTACACGCAGGAGCATCGTGTCTACACACAAAAAGTGCTGTGTGTGGGTGAATGCAGACATGATTCATCACAAAATATTTCTGTTTGGTGTTTAAACATCTGAACACCTATTCTTGGTTCTTTCGCTAAAGTCACGTAGAAGGGATATTTTATTATTTTATTGTTTTCCTTCTACGTGACTTTACCGAAAGAACCAAGAATATGAATCCCTGCAGTCACGAAAGCTTTAAATTAAAATCTGAACACCTGTTTTATTGCCAGAAAGCGTAAAAACCTATTCTCATATGCTCTGATAATATATGATGCATTGTCCTTGAAACTGATTGGTCCACACCAGAAACGGCTTTCTTTTGAGCCTCGTCTCAATTGGTGCTAGACCAGAGGACGCCAAATGGCGTTACACAGCTCAAAGACAATGCCACTATCAAAGTAATGAGGGCTCGGGGTAAGCATCTACATCATCATTAGACCTCCTTTGCCAGTACCAAAACATAATAATAGGGGTTTTCCCCCTTTTTTTCTGGAAACAAAACTGAAACCTTTTTACGAGGAATCCTGTGTGCATTAACCACACAACACAGACACACAGAGACCCAATACTTGTGGTTAATGCAATGGCATGATGCCTCGTAAAAAGGTTTCAGTTTTGTTGCCAGAAAAAAGGGGGGAAAACCCCTATTATTAACGTAACAACTCATCACGCATCCTCGGTATGAAGTTCGATCTCAAACCTCTATCGATTCTGCGGCCTCTCTAATTCACCTGCTCAGAGGGAGGGCCACTTCTTTCCGTTCCTCATCGCCCTCGGAGCCCCACCACCTCTTCACCACTGCCCATTCGCTTCTTCTTCCCTCCCCTCACCCCTCCACTCCATCCCGTCCCTCCCCTTGTAGCCGCTGGCGTGACTCCCCCCCCCGCCACGTGCCCTCTGTTATGGTCACGCATTGTCTCGGCCCTTGCACTGGCCCCTGCCATCTCAGTCGCTCATATTTGATGACCGCTAAGGTGCTCGATAAAAACAACATACTACATAGGATCAGTATGAACACACACCCACTGCGCTCGGTCTTGAGAGACCCACAGGTTGGCACGGTTGGCTGAGTACGGTGTGAAATAAGTTCTACTTACATACAACATACATACAATATAGGATATACATACAACATACATACGAAATACATACAACATGCATCCAACATACATTAACAAAGACAAAGATCTCCCGTATAGCCTGAACAGACTGTAGGGGCAAGTGCTGTTAGCGAGCAGCACCTATGAAGGCTGGAACGGTACACGAGGGGGTGGGTGGCCAGCACCACGCCTGGCCCCCTTTGTCTCCCCAGTGGCGATGTTCACTACGCACCGCTACACCAGGTACTCATTTGAGGCTGAGTCGACCTAGGGAAGGCCCTGGACCGGTTCAGATAATCGTTACTGATGTTGGCCGTGAGCGAAAATCGAACCCAGGTTGACAGGTTCGTCGCATAGCGTGCTAACCGCTACACGACCACTCCCCATACAACATACATATGACATACGAAATATATACAACATACATGCAACATACGACAGACATACAACATTCATACAGCTCACATACGTACGTACATGCAACTACGGGCGGCTCACCTGGAGCGAGTTTCGCTTCCGAAAGGCAGACGGCGTCGTTGGTGGCAGAGCACGAGGTGAGCTGAGCCCCGGGACACCTGCGCGTCACACACGCATCACACGCGCGTCACAGACTAACCCCCCCACGAGGGCCAATCAGACTCATGGGGACAGCGCTGTTAGCGGGGGTACCGTTTTTACACGCTTTTATTTAACTCACTCTGTTGTTATTGTTGTATCCTCATATCTTGTAACTCAATTTAAACCCACTTCCCAATGTGCTATCGACGGATAACTTGGTATACTTATGTTATACTGATGACAATACTATATTCTATCGTAAAAAAAATAAAGAAATATATATTTTTAAACATTTTTTATATGTTATGTTTCGGCTTGAGTGTAATTGCACACGCTCAACTGACGTTGGCTGTAAATCACCACGGTCCCTTACGTTGTGGCAAGCTTCGGGGCCACTTCCTGGAGTAGTGGAATTATTCCATTACTAGTAGGGTACATTTCATTAAAGCGTGTTTTTTAAAAAGTTTTTTTAAAATATTACTTATTTTTATTGCAGTTGACCATATTTATTCACGGAGCTGTCGATGTTTAGACTGACCTAGTCTCCTCTCTAAATGCGCCCGATGCCAAAAGGGTTTCAAAAGATAAGCGGTGTTGACCCTAAGTGGTGCTTGAGCCCAATTCATATTCACGTTGAGCCGAATTGGTACTCAGGTTGGGCACTAATTAGTACTCGGGTTTCGCGACCAATATTCACAATAAAGGTTTATGTTGTTGTTCCACTCCTGCTTGTCAGCGTATGAATTGAAGTAATTGCATGCCTTGTGAAGGCATCACATACTAGTTAACTGTGATGGACAATCCATTGTTATAGCAATACAATAAACCAAACCCGTCTGCTCTCCGCACCTGATTGGCTCACAGTGATGACGTCACCCTGCTCTATATAAGACCGGAAGCAGCTAGACCCCGTCACAATTGTGGCAAAATGGCTGACGATGAAGCTGGTCGTTCTCATTATCGGCGAAACGTCACGGCTACTCAAATGGGCAAATGCCGTGGATTGAACTCTCCAACACACAACCGGTTAGTGCTGTACTGGTAATTAATTGGCCACGTCTTGTTTACGCGACGAACCCCTTACTGGTTGGCTGTGTCACGTGGTGGCGAGTGAACGGACCACATTTATTCCGGCGCGAACAACGCGACAAATCATTTGGGTCTGGCCCTGCCAAGGCAACCGCAGGTGGGACTCGAAATTCAATAAAATCTAGGAGAAAACCTGGAAAAGCAGTTGCGAGTAGCAACATCATCAATACCAGCTAACATCATCAATACCAGCTAACAATATCAATACCAGCTAACATCATCAATACCAGCTAACATCATCAATACCAGCTAACATCATCAATACCAGCTAACATCATCAATACCAGCTAACATCAATACCAGCTAACATCATCAATACCAGCTAACATCATCAATACCAGCTAACATCATCAATACCAGCTAACATCATCAACACGAGCTAACATCATCAATACCAGCTAACATCATCAATAGCCAGCTAACATCATCACCACGCCTCGCCAAAGAGAAGCAGTTCCAGCCATCGCATTAGGGGTGAGTTAATTAAATGTTTGACCGAATAATTTTTAAGTTGATGATTTTGTGTGGCCCGCGAATGATGTTACATAAATACCCAAATGGCCCTTGGCAGAGAAAAAGGTTCCCCACCCCTGCCCTAAACCAAGGCGGTCGGCAAACGTGCGGCTCAAGAGCCAGAATGCAGAATGAGAATATTGTATTTATACTGCAGAAGGAATACGATGAGCTATAAAGCTCTGTTTTTTTGTCTCAGATGTCCAATTTGGGGCACGGGGTCAGAACGCTACAGCAACAACAACAACACGATAGGAGTGTAAAGTGTGGCTGTTTAAGAGGACTGCTGCTTCATGGCCGTGTATTTATGAAGGGAGCGCCACCGCCTCTCTCATATTCGCCATGATGCATTGCTAAAAATGTAGGTTGTCGAGCATAGCCCCTAAGGGTATGAATATAGTGGCCTTCCTGAAATTTAAAAAAAACATTGACACTCAGTCAAAGCGCTTTCCCTTGATCAGCAATTTGCGTTAATATTGACGAGCAACGCGTTTAACAGGTTCCCAGCAGGTTTATACTACATACTAACGAAACAATAATACTACGTAATATTGGTCGCGAAAGCCTACGTGTTAAACCAATAATAATACAATAACTTGCTTTTATATAATGACGTATATTTTTTTACGTGTCGAGTTTGCACCAAACACTTTGTTTTGTCTATGGAATTTGTTTTCATCACTTTTAACCCAACAAAAAAAAAGCCTTTACAGTATTGTGGATAATATTGGTCGCGGAAGCCGTCTGCGTGTTAAACTACTTTACTTTTGTTTGTCCGTACGTTTCATGAGCCCAGCTTGTAAGCTTTCTCTAATTATTGCTTTTGGTTTTGCCATAGATATAAATTTAAACAATTTTTTTTAAGTTGTTCATAGGTAAAAAAAAGCCCCGCTGAGCTATGTAGCTCCTTTTTCAGAAGCGACCTGGTTATCACAAATGATAGCTCTACGAAGTGGCTAATATCATCATCATGCGGAAATTTATAGAAGTAGTCAAATACTCTAAACGCGCGGTGATGTTTATTCTAAATGTGGAGGGGGGAAAAACCGGAGGACCTGGAGAAAAATCCACGCGACCACCACGGGGAGAGAAAGACGCAAACTCCAAATAGACAACATGCGTCGGGGTCGAACCCACGTACCTCTTGTATACCAGGCGAGCTAGTAAACATCTCCTAGACACCGCGTTACCCTAATATACAGAGGACTGCAGAGTTTGGGCAATTGTTCCGCTCATCTGTGGTTTCTCCTTCTGGCACGTCCGAGTCCTCTCTCTCTCTCTACGCCGTGTTGCAAGTTGAATTAGCGATTGCTAACCCTTTCCCATTCCGATGACGTATACGTTATATTATTGGTTCTTTCGGTAAAGTCACGTAGAAGGGAAACATTAAAATAATAAAAATATTAAATAATAAAATTCTCACGACGTTTCGACTGCAACACAAGCAATCATCATCAGGTGTGATGATCATCAGGTGTGATGATTGCTTGTGTTGCAGTCGAAACGTCGTGAGAATTTTATTGGTCTATATTTTTTATTTTATTTTATTGTTTCCCTTCTACGTGACTTTACCGAAAGAACCAAGAATATGAATCCCTGCAGTCACGAAAGCTTTCAATCAAGACGTATACGTTGACGTACGCGGACGCACGTGCACGGACCGAAGCCACGACCTCATGCATCGCAGGCGAGGGAGACAACAACTCGCCTCAACGAATCACCGTCACACGCCGAAAATGCCGAAAAGAACCCAAAGCGATTCGTCATCCACGGCCGTCACGTGGCCCACCTGGTGCAGGGTCGGCACTGCCCACCCGAGCCATCGCTATAGAAACCGGGGGGGCACGGCCTGCAGGCAACGTCCGTCACGAGGTCACCTGGGAGGGGTCACGGGAGAGACATTCCAAGCTTTCGGCAGAGAAGACGCGATCAATTAATACTAAACTACTAAACAATGTTTTTGTTTTGCAGGTAAGGCCCCACTGAGCTGCCATGTTAACTCTTTTCAGAAGCGACCTGGCCGATCACAAATGATAGCTCATCGAAGTGGGGGCCTATCATCATCGTGTTTGAAATTTATAGTGGAGCGCCGAGCGGCTAAAATGCAGCAAGTTGGCACAGTGGGAGGTACTGGTGGTGCATCTGCCGGTCATCTCAGTCAGCCAACCCGTGGCACCTGCTGGGTCTATGCCGTGACCACCTGTCAGTGAGCCTTCGACACTTCACGTGGCCTCAAAGTGCACCTAGCAGGCGCCGTGGTGAATGGCGGTTGTATTGGTATTGATGGTACTTTTCTCGCCTGGTATGCAGGAGGTCACGAGTTCGATCCCGACCCTGACGCCTGCTGTATATTTGGAGTTTGCGCGTCTCTCTCTCTGTGATCGCGTGGATTTTTTCTCCAGGTCCTCTGGTTTTTCCCTCCACATTTAGAAACATGCGTTTGTGCTATAACAGTCCAAATGATGAGGCCACATTGTTTAGCTTTCGTTTGTGGCCAGGTCGCTTCTGAGAAATACGTTTATCCCTCAGTGGGCTTTGCCTGGAAGGATTGGGGATGGATTCGCGTTGTCTCTGTGTGTAGTTTGGGCGATTTGTTTGCCTTTCTTGTACTTTGCACTGCTATCGTGTTTGTGTGTTTTGTGTTTATTGTTGTTTGTTGTTGTTGTTGTTCTTGTTGTAAAGGCTGCGTTGGCTTGGCCATGTAGCCCACATGCCCAGCCACCGCATGCCTAAACAGCTTTTGTTCGGCCAGAAAGAGGGTGCTGAACGGGCGCGTCACGGGCTAGAGAAGAGATGGAGTGATGTGGTACAGGAGGACGTGTAGCCGAGTGGACTTGCCGATGACTGGTACCAGCGGTGTCAAGATCGGCCTCTGTAGAGGAGGCTCGTGAAGGACGCTACTGGGCAGTTGGAGGCAGTCGCCCTCCAACAACAACGGAGGGCGGAAAAGGGCGACGCTCACAACAACGAGCGGAGCGCCGGGCGGCTAAAACACAGCGAGTTGGCACAGTAGGTGGCACAGGTGGTGCATCGGCCAACCGGCCACTCATCTCAGTCGACCCGTGGCACCTGCTGGGTCTGCCCCGTGACCTCCCGCCAGCGGGCGTTCGACACTTCACGTGGCCTCAACGTGCACACTGCCTGGCACAAGCGTCGTGGTGACCTCACCGCCACTCAAATGGCGAATTATTGTTGCAACGGCTCTTCGGATTCCTCCTGCGGTGCGGAGACAACATTCTGATGGCGCCGATGATTGCGACCTCGTAAATCTCACATTGGGCCAGGGACCCAAGGCCGCGCGGGCAGTTCCGGCAGCAGCGGAACACGGAGCCGTAGTTGTGCTCGCGAGAAGCGTGCGAGCCGGGAAGGCAGCCGCACACCTCGTCCCGTGTCGAGGAGCAGCGAGTAAGAGGCACCTGTCCCAGTCCTGTGGGGAACATCGCCATCGTCGTCAACGTTATCGGCAACATCATCATCAGCATCATCATCGTCGCCACCATCATCATTATCGCCAACATCATCATTGCCACCACCATCATCACCGCCATCGCCACCGTCGTCATCATCGCCACCACCATCATCATCATCATCATCATCGCCATCATTATCATCATGATCGTCAGCACCATCATCATCATCATCGTCATCATCGCGACCATCATCATTGCCACCACCATCATAATCGCCACCATCATCATCACCGCCACCACCATCATCATTATCACCACCATCATCATTGCCATCATCATTATCATTGCCATCATCATCACCACCACCACCATCATCACCACCATCATCATCACCATCATCATTGCCATCATCATCATTGCCATCATCATCACCACCACCACCATCATCACGACCATCACCATCACCACCATCATCATCAGCACCATCATCATCACCATCATCATCCCGAGTTCAATTCACCGACACCAGCACCTTTCCTCTTTGTGCACTCCCCCACCTCGTTCTGCAGCGAGTGTGTGCGTGTGAGTGTGTGTGTACATGTGTGTACATGAGTGTGTGTGTGCATGTGCATGTGTCTACATGAGTGTGTGTGCATGTGTATGTGTGTACATGAGTGTGTGTGCATGTGTGACCGGCTCCAGTTTAACAGCAGAGGTCTCACTCCGAATCAGTCGAGCGGCAATATCTTTTCATCGGTTGCGTAACGCTGTGTGGAAGCTACCTGGTCTGTCGCTCCGCACTAAGCTTCAGGTCTTCTCGGCCACGGTATCTCCCTCCCTTCTCTACGCTTGCGAAACATGGACCCCCCTAATGGAACATCTTCGCCGGTTAGAAACATTTAGGGTAGCCTGCCAATGATCCATCCTGGGTTTAACCAGGCTGGATTGTGTGAGGAGCTCAAAAATCCTTGAAAGATCTGGGCAAGGTCCCATCGGTGAGCTCCTCCGGCAGGCAAGGCTGCGTTGGCTGGGTCATGTAGCCCGCATGCCCAGCCACCGCATGCCGAAACAGCTTTTGTTCGGCTGGATCGAGGGGGCTAAACGGGCGCGGCACGGGCTAGAGAAGAGATGGAGTGATGTGGTACAGGAGGACGTGGAGCTGAGTGGACTTGCCGATGACTGGTACCATTGGTGTCAAGATCGGCCTCTGTGGAGGAGGCTCGTGAAGGACGCTACTGGGCAGTTGGAGGCAGCCGCCCTCCAACAACAACGGAGGGATGGAGGAGCGACGCTCACAACAACGAGCGGAGCGCCGGGTGGCTAAAGCGCTGTCCTCGAGACAGTCTGGTCCCTTCACCTGATGAAGGCCGCTTGTGTTGTGGCCGAAACGTCGTGATTTTTGTTGTTTCATTTTTTACCTACGTGACGTTACCGAATAGAACCAAAGAGTATGGATCCTTGCAGTCACGAAAGCTTCAAATCTATAAAAGCACAGCAGGTTTGCACAGTAGGGGGCACAGGTGGTGCATCAGCCAGTCATCTCAGTCATCTTAGTCAGTCGACCCGTGGCACCTGCTGGGTCTGCCCCGTGACCTCCTGCCAGCGGGCGTTCGACACTTCACGTGGCCTCAAGGTGCACATGGCCTGGCACAAGCGTCGTGGTGACATCACCGCCACTTAGTGGCGAATGGCGGTTGTTGTTGTTGTTGTGCATGTGTATGTGTCTACATGAGTGTATGTGCATGTGTATGTGTGTACATGAGTGTCTACATGAGTGTGTGTGCATGTGTATGTGTGTACATGAGTGTGTGTGTGTACATAATGGGGAGCGATAGTGTAGCGGTTAGCACGCTGCGCTATGAACCTGGCAACCCGGGTTCGATTCCCGCTCACGGCAAACACCAGTGACGATTATCTGGATCGGTCCCGGGCCTCCCCTAGGTCGACTCAGCCTCAAATGAGTACCTGTTGCGGTGTGTAAACATTGCCACTAGGGAGACAAAGGCGGTCGGGCGTGGTGCTGTATCTATACTAAAGTAATACAAATATGACTACTAAAGATTTAAAAGTGAATCGTTTGTCGAGATTGTTCCTCCCCACAGAGAACTCGGTCCCCTGTGGACAGTCCCGCCTGTGGTAGTGCGCCTTGGTGTCTAAATCTTTCGTCGTCATTTTTCTATTGCTTAAGCACAAAATACATGTTCATTTTTATTCATATGTTGTTTTTTTCTGACTTTATGTGAACGAAAAGACACAAATTGAAAGTATGTACATTTAAAAATATCACTGTCCTGGTCACAAAAGCAACGTTTGTGGGGAGTAATAATAGCCACTTTCTGTACTTGTGACCATAAGCAAATAGGAAATAACACTTCGTACCCAGGGACAGAAAATAATTGTTACACAGTGAAATCATTGCTAGGAAGGGGGTTATGTGGGTAAGTGTCTGGTGGGTAGCTGGTGAGTGTCTGGTGAGTGGCTGGTGAGTGTCTGGTGAGTGGCTGGTGAGTAGCTGGTGAGTGTCTGGTGAGTAGCTGGTGAGTGTCTGGTGAGTAGCTGGTGAGTAGCTGGTGAGTGTCTGGTGAGTGGCTGGTGAGTAGCTGGTGAGTGTCTGGTGAGTGTCTAGTGAGTAGCTGGTGAGTGTCTGGTGAGTGTCTGGTGAGTAGCTGGTGACTGGCTAGTGAGTGTGAGTGGCTGGTGAGTGTCTGCTGAGTAGCTGGTGAGTAGCAGCTGAGTAGCTGGTGAGTATCTGGTGAGTAGCTGGTGAGTGTGAGTGGCTGGTGAGTAGCTGGTGAGTAGCTGGTGAGTGTGAGTAGCTGGGGACTAGCTGGTGAGTGTGAGTGGCTGGTGAGTAGCTGGTGAGTGTGAGTAGCTGGTGAGTAGCTGGTGAGTAGCTGCTGAGTAGCTGGTGAGTAGCTGGTGAGTAGCTGGTGAGTGTGAGTGGCTGGTGAGTAGCTGGTAAGTGTCTGGTGAGTAGCTGGTGAGTGTCTGGTGAGTAGCTGGTGAGTATCTGGTGAGTAGCTGGTGAGTGTCTGGTGAGTGTGAGTATCTGGTGAGTATCTGGTGAGTGTGAGTATCTGGTGAGTAGCTGGTGAGTGGCTGGTGAGTAGCTGGTGAGTATCTGGTGAGTGTGAGTAGCAGCTGAGTAGCTGGTGAGTGTGAGTGGCTGGTGAGTAGCTGGTGAGTAGCTGGTGAGTATCTGGTGAGTGGCTGGTGAGTGTCTGGTGAGTAGCTGGTGAGTATCTGGTGAGTGTGAGTGGCTGGTGAGTAGCTGGTGAGTGGGAGTGGCTGGTGAGTAGCTGGTGAGTAGCTAGTGAGTATCTGGTGAGTATGAGTAGCAGCTGAGTAGCTGGTGAGTGTCTGGTGAGTGTCTGGTGAGTAGCTGGTGAGTGTCTGGTGAGTGTGAGTATCTGGTGAGTAGCTGGTGAGTATCTGGTGAGTATCTGGTGAGTAGCTGGTGAATGTCTGGTGAGTGTGAGTATCTGGTGAGTATCTGGTGAGTGTGAGTATCTGGTGAGTAGCTGGTGAGTAGCTGGTGAATATCTGGTGAGTAGCTGGTGAGTATCTGGTGAGTAGCTGGTGAGTAGCTGGTGAGTGTCTGGTGAGTGTGAGTATCTGGTGAGTATCTGGTGAGTATCTGGTGAGTATCTAGTGAGTGTGAGTATCTGGTGAGTATCCGGTGAGTAGCTGGTGAGTGTGAGTATCTGGTGAGTATCTGGTGAGTAGCTGGTGAGTGTGAGTATCTGGTGAGTATCTGGTGAGTGTGAGTAGCTGGTGAGTATCTGGTGAGTATCTGGTGAGTGTGAGTAGCTGGTGAGTATCTGGTGAGTATCTGGTGAGTAGCTGGTGAGTGTGAGTATCTGGTGAGTATCTGGTGAGTGTGAGTATCTGGTGAGTATCTGGTGAGTATCTGGTGAGTAGCTGGTGAGTAGCTGGTGAGTGTCTGGTGAGTGTGAGTATCTGGTGAGTATCTGGTGAGTATCTGGTGAGTATCTAGTGAGTGTGAGTATCTGGTGAGTATCTGGTGAGTAGCTGGTGAGTGTGAGTATCTGGTGAGTATCTGGTGAGTAGCTGGTGAGTGTGAGTATCTGGTGAGTATCTGGTGAGTGTGAGTATCTGGTGAGTGTGAGTAGCTGGTGAGTATCTGGTGAGTATCTGGTGAGTGTGAGTATCTGGTGAGTGTGAGTATCTGGTGAGTAGCTGGTGAGTATCTGGTGAGTATCTGGTGAGTGTGAGTATCTGGTGAGTGTGAGTATCTGGTGAGTATCTGGTGAGTATCTGGTGAGCGTACCTGTGTTGCACTGCCCGCAGGGTTTGCATCTCCGTCGCGTGTTCAGGTCGGCGGTGAAAGTGCCCTGGGGGCACGGCTCGCAGCGGCTGGGCGCGTCTGCTGTGCACCTGGCGGACAGGTAGTGCCCTGCGGGAGGGGCAATGCACGATACCACGTGGGTTGGGCGCACCTCTCTCTGGCAACAAAACACGAGTTTGCCGTTCACGATGTTCGAACGGCGAGATGGACGCACGGCTTCTCGGGCCCGATATGATCCACGATCGAGTTGTCTTGCGTTAAAGTCGATCACGCGATCGAAGGGGATCGTCCATAAATGACGTCACGCGATGATTTTGGCCGATTTTTTTTACCTCTCCCTCCCCCCCCCTCTCTCCCTCGTCACACGACGTCACGAAAAGTCAGACCCCCCCCCCTCCCCCTCAAATATGACGTCACAAAGCTCTGCCTCCCCCTCCTCCCCCCCAAATAAAACATGCTTCAAATCGCTTTAAACTATTGTCATTGTATTTTTGATTTGAAGCTTTCGTGACTGCAGGGATTCGTATTCTTGGTTCTTTCGGTAAAGTCACCACGTAGAAGGGAAACAATAAAATAATAAAAATATAAAACAATAAAATTATTGTAAAACAATACAATTATTATTCTTGGTTCTTTCGGTAAAGTCACCACGTAGATGGGAAACAATACAATAATAAAAATATAAAACAATAAAATTATTGTAAAACAATAAAATTATTATTCTTGGTTCTTTCGGTAAAGTCACCACGTAAAAGGGAAACAATAAAATAATAAAAATATAAAACAATAAAATTATTGTAAAACAATAAAATTATTATTCTTGGTTCTTTCGGTAAAGTCACCACGTAGAAGGGAAACAATAAAATAATAAAAACATAAAACAATAAAATTATTGTAAAACAATAAAATTATTATTCTTGGTTCTTTCGGTAAAGTCACCACGTAGAAGGGAAACAATAAAATAATAAAAATATAAAACAATAAAATTATTGTAAAACAATAAAAATTATTATTCTTGGTTCTTTCGGTAAAGTCACCACGTAGAAGGGAAACAATAAAATAATAAAAATATAAAATTATTGTAAAACAATAAAATTATTATTCTTGGTTCTTTCGGTAAAGTCACCACGTAGAAGGGAAACAATAAAATAATAAAAATATATAAAACAATAAAATTATTGTAAAACAATAAAATTATTATTCTTGGTTCTTTCGGTAAAGTCACCACGTAGAAGGGAAACAATAAAATAATAAAAACATAAAACAATAAAATTATTGTAAAACAATAAAATTATTATTCTTGGTTCTTTCGGTAAAGTCACCACGTAGAAGGGAAACACCACAACAAGAAAATGTGAAAAATTTTCACACCTGGTTTTCACACCTGATGATGATTGCTTGTGTTGCAGTCGAAACGTCGTGAGAATTGTATTGTTAAATATTTTTTTTTATTATTTTATTGTTTCCCTTCTACGTGGTGACTTTACCGAAAGAACCAAGAATAATAATTTTATTGTTTTACAATAATTGTATTGTTTTATGTTTTTTTATTATTTTATTGTTTCCCTTCTACGTGGTGACTTTACCGAAAGAACCAAGAATAATAATTTTATTGTTTTACAATAATTGTATTGTTTTATGTTTTTATTATTTTATTGTTTCCCTTCTACGTGGTGACTTTACCGAAAGAACCAAGAATAATAATTTTTTTGTTTTACAATAATTGTATTGTTTTATGTTTTTATTATTTTATTGTTTCCCTTCTACGTGGTGACTTTACCGAAAGAACCAAGAATATAATATTGTCATTGTAGTGCGTATTTAATGTGGCGATGCACTCTGATGTAGGATAAAACATTTATGAAAAAGTATTTTTTATTAATTAGAACGTGTTGTCTGTATTTATTTAAAGTTGCGCATTCTGACGTGACGTCACATTTCTCCCCCCCCCCTCGTCACACATCGTTAGAAATGTCTGACCACCCCCCGCCCCCACCCCTAGGTGCGTGACGTCATTTATGGACGGCCCCTAACACAACAAAACAAAAAACCTCTGTTACGGATCAAGTCTTTTGGCGCTGTTCTCTGGTCTACTGTCACTGGTGGGTGAGACACGGGCCATGAGGAAGGGCTGCCTCTGGTGTGGGCCAATCAGTTCCAAAGACAATGCCACACATTTTGATTTAAAGCTTTCGTGACTGCAGTAATTCATATCCTTAGTTCTTTCGGTAAAGTCACGTTGAAGGGAAACAATAAAATAATAAAATATATATAAAACAATAAAAATTCTCACGACGTTTCGACTATAACACAAACGGTCGTCTTCAGGTGTGTTATGGTCGAAACGTCGTGAGAATTTTTTTTATTGTTTTATATATATTTTATTATTTTGTTGTTTCCCTTCAACGTGACTTTACCGAAAGAACTAGGAATATGAAAAATGCCACACATTGTTATCATGATTGTTGTAAGAGTGTGCTTGTGTGCTCGCCACAAATACAACGTGTGTGGTTAATTCAGTAAATTGATTCCTTGCAACAAAAAAAAGGTCAAATCTATTCGGCGCTCGCACGTCCCAGGCCAAACTCCTGGTTTTCGATTGGCAGGAAGGCGTACAAACCGAATCTTATTTCATCATACTTTGATAACTGGCACACGAACAAAGCATCCCGTGAGACCTCCTTTGCCAGCGCCATAATATGAGAATAGGTTTTCCCCCTTTGTACCGGCAACAAAACAGCTGTGTTAAGATGTTAGAACGCCAAACTGAAACATTTCACGAGGAGTCGTGTCTGCATTGACCACAATACATGTGTTCAGAATGCAAACAAAACACACACTCTGATAGTATGATGATGATGATGATGCATTGTCTTTGAAACTGATTGGTCCACGCCATCTTCGAAGCCTTTGAAGTTAGACCAGAGGACAGCCATTTTGGCGTCCTCTGGTCTAACACCGTTACGCGGGTGTCTGCACGCAAACACGGAGACCTCTCACTCCACAGTTGATGTTCCATGTCCTCTCCAATGGTGGCGTAGTTTCACTCATTGGTTTTTTCGGTGACGTCACGTATGTAGAAATACAATAAAATTATATTAAAATAAAAAAATCACGACGTTTCGATCACAACGCAAGCGATTTTCATCAGGTGTCAAGAACAAATCACGGAGGTAAATACAAACACAAAAAGATGAGAGACGAGAATTCAACAAAGCTGAAAAAACATTATGTGAAGCACATCCAGTCAGGCCAACAACACAGTTAGACACTTCCTGGCGGACCACGGATTTCATCTTTGTGTCGCATTTACCTTCGTGATTTGTTCTTGACACCTGATGAAGATCGCTTGCATTGTGATCGAAACGTCGTGATTGTTTTTTTGTTTTAATATACTTTTATTGTATTTCTACATTCGTGACTTTACCGAAAAAAAAACCTACGAGTAATTTTATGCAGTCACGAACGCTTTAATACTTTATTATAACACTTCTACGGGGAAGTTACCGTTGTAATTATGTGTAAGATGTGTGACTTTTATGAGCTGCCGTTTTGTATTTACAAGAGGTGGTCATTTTTTGAGCTGCCGTTTTGTATTTACAAGAGGTGGTCCTTTTTTGAGCTGCCGTTTTGTATGTGTAAGATGTTGCGTGTTTGAGCTGCCGCTCTCGCTCTGGGCCCTCCCCCCCTCCAACCGTATTTCCTGTTTAAGCTTCTGTTCATCCCTCCGGCACCCCCCCCTCTCTCTCTCTGCCTCCCTGTCTGTCTTTCCTCCCTCCTTACCTCTTGGTAGACTTGTATATGTATTTCTACTGACCGTGTACCTCGTCTTTTTCATTCTATCTATGCTGGTATGTGCAATCCAAAGGTTGAACACGAAATTTAACACTCTTCTGAAATTCCTGGTCCGCCAGGAAGTGTCTGTGTTGTTGGCCTGACTGGATGTGCTTCACATAATGTTCTTTCAGCTTTGTTGAATTCTCGTCTCTCATCTTTTTGTTGCATTTACCTCCGTGATTTGTTCTTGACACCTGATGAAGATCGCTTGCGTTGTGATCGAAACGTCGTGATTGTTTTTTTGTTTTAATATAATTTTATTGTATTTCTACATTCGTGACTTTACCGAAAAAAAAGCCTACGAGTAATTTTATGCAGTCACGAACGCTTTAATACCTTATTGTGGCGTAGTTTGTTGTTTTTTCCTTACGTTGAATAACAGAAGCAGATCCCCCACACACACACAGACACTTGGGTGAGCACTGCGCTACGAACCCGGCGAGCCCGCGTTTGATTCCAGCTCACGGCCACCAACACCGGCGACGATTATCGTAGCCGGTCCCGGGCCTCCGCGAGGTCGACTCGAGCCTCAAAACGAGTGCCTGAGTGCGGTGTGCAAAAAACTTCGCCACTGGGGGAGACAAAGGCGGCCGGGCGTGGTGCTGGCCACCCACCCCCTCGTGCGCCACAGTCCCGGCCCTCACAGGTGCTGCTCGATACTCGCTAACAGCACTTGCCCCTTAATCTAAGTTGTCTTGTGGTGGTTGTTGTTGTTGTTGTGGTTGTTGTTGTTGTTTGAGATGCATCCCATTGGGATTTTTGCACACAGCGTTGGTGTACGGTGCTTTTTTCAGGAATATTTATATTTTTTAATTTAAAGCTTTCGTGACTGCAGTAATTCATATTCTTAGTTTTTTCGGTAAAGTCACGTTGAAGAGAAACAACAAAATAATAATATATATATAAAAATAAAAAATTCTCACGACGTTTCGACCATAACTCAAACGGTCATCTTCAGGTTTGTTGGTTTGCATAAATTATCGTAGCCGGTCCCGGGCCTCCGCAAACCAACACGCCTGAAGATGACCGTTTGAGTTATGGTCGAAACGTCGTGAGAATTTATTATTATTATATATATTTTATTATTTTGTTGTTTCTCTTCAATGTGACTTTACCGAAAAAACTAAGAATATGAATATTTTGATGTTTTTTTTTTCTTGGATTTTCTGTTTGCACAGTCACACACACGGTCACTTTAAGATGTTTTTCTTGTTCGTGTTTTTGTTTTTTGTTTTGTTGCGGTTGCACCCGATTCAAGAGCCGAATGGCTCACGTGGCTATACCATTATAAATGTAACTGAAATGGTACTGAACTGAACCCCTACCAGTCCTGTTAAGGCTACACGGGAGGGGGTGGGCATCTTTTGTCCCTGTGTTCGGGAGACAGAGCCTCTGTCACCCACCTGGTGTGCACTTGCTACAGCAGGCACCGCCGTGTCGCCGGTATTGCCACGTGCTGTTGCAAGAAGCCGCCGCCGACGCCGTCGCGAAGCCGCCTTCACCTCCGCCACCACCACCGCCACCGCCACCGCCACCGTGCACCACGGCCAGCAGCAGGTGAGCCACGCACGTGGCCCGCAGCGCGCTCTGTGACGCCGAGGCGGACATATTTGCTTTAACACGTGGTGACGCTTTAAGACGTGGTGACGCTTTAAGACGTGGTGACGCTTTAACACGTGGTGTCGCTTTAACACGTGGTGACGCTTTAACACGTGGTGTCGCTTTAACACGTGGTGACGCTTTAACACGTGGTGTCGCTTTAACACATGGTGACGCTTTAACACGTGGTGTCGCTTTAACACGTGGTGACGCTTTAACACGTGGTGTCGCTTTAACACGTGGTGACGCTTTAACACGTGGTGTCGCTTTAACACATGGTGACGCTTTAACACGTGGTGTCGCTTTAACACGTGGTGACGCTTTAACACGTGGTGACGCTTTAACACGTGGTGACGCTTTAAGACGTGGTGACGCTTTAAGACGTGGTGACGCTTTAACACGTGGTGTCGCTTTAACACGTGGTGACGCTTTAACACGTGGTGTCGCTTTAACACGTGGTGACGCTTTAACACGTGGTGTCGCTTTAAACACATGGTGACGCTTTAACACGTGGTGTCGCTTTAACACGTGGTGACGCTTTAACACGTGGTGTCGCTTTAACACGTGGTGACGCTTTAACACATGGTGACGCTTTAACACGTGGTGTCGCTTTAACACGTGGTGATGCTTTAACACGTGGTGACGCTTTAACACGTGGTGACGCTTTAACACGTGGTGTCGCTTTAACACGTGGTGACGCTTTAACACGTGGTGTCGCTTTAACACGTGGTGACGCTTTAACACGTGGTGTCGCTTTAACACGTGGTGACGCTTTAACACGTGGTGTCGCTTTAACACGTGGTGTCGCTTTAACACGTGGTGACGCTTTAACACGTGGTGACGCTTTAACACGTGGTGTCGCTTTAACACCTGGTGACGCTTTAACACGTGGTGACGCTTTAACACGTGGTGACGCTTTAACAACGTGGTGACGCTTTAACACGTGGTGACGCTTTAACACGTGGTGACGCTTTAACACGTGGTGACGCTTTAACAACGTGGTGACGCTTTAACACGTGGTGTCGCTTTAACACGTGGTGACGCTTTAACACGTGGTGTCGCTTTAACACGTGGTGTCGCTTTAACACGTGGTGACGCTTTAACACGTGGTGTCGCTTTAACACGTGGTGACGCTTTAACACGTGGTGACGCTTTAACACGTGGTGTCGCTTTAACACGTGGTGACGCTTTAACACGTGGTGTCGCTTTAACACGTGGTGTCGCTTTAACACGTGGTGACGCTTTAACACGTGGTGACGCTTTAACACATGGTGACGCTTTAACACATGGTGACGCTTTAACACGTGGTGACGCTTTAACACGTGGTGACGCTTTAACACGTGGTGACGCTTTAACACGTGGTGTCGCTTTAACACGTGGTGTCGCTTTAACACGTGGTGACACTTTAACACGTGGTGACGCTTTAACACGTGGTGACGCTTTAACACGTGGTGACGCTTTAACACGTGGTGACGCTTTAACACGTGGTGTCGCTTTAACACGTGGTGACGCTTTAACACGTGGTGTCGCTTTAACACGTGGTGTCGCTTTAACACGTGGTGTCGCTTTAAGACGTGGTGACGCTTTAACACGTGGTGACGCTTTACCAACGTGGTTACGCTTTAACACGTGGTGACGCTTTAACACGTGGTGTCGCTTTACCAACGTGGTGACGCTTTAACACGTGGTGACACTTTAACACGTGGTGACGCTTTAACACATGGTGACGCTTTAACACGTGGTGACGCTTTAACACGTGGTAAACGCTTTAACACATGGTGACGCTTTAACACGTGGTGACGCTTTAACAACGTGGTGTCGCTTTAACACGTGGTGACGCTTTAACACGTGGTGACGCTTTAAGACGTGGTGACACTTTAACACGTGGTGTAACTTTAACACGTGGTGACACTTTAAACACGTGGTGACGCTTTAACACGTGGTGACGCTTTAACACGTGGTGACGCTTTAAGACGTGGTGACGCTTTAACACGTGGTGTCGCTTTAACACGTGGTGACGCTTTAACACGTGGTGTCGCTTTAACACGTGGTGTCGCTTTAACACGTGGTGACACTTTAACACGTGGTGACGCTTTAACACGTGGTGACGCTTTAACACGTGGGTGTCGCTTTAACACGTGGTTGTCGCTTTAACACGTGGTGACGCTTTAACACGTGGTGACGCTTTAACACGTGGTGACGCTTTAACACGTGGTGACGCTTTAAACACGTGGTGTCGCTTTAACACGTGGTGTCGCTTTAACACGTGGTGACACTTTAACACGTGGTGACGCTTTAACACGTGGTGACGCTTTAACACGTGGTGTCGCTTTAACACGTGGTGTCGCTTAACACGTGGTGACGCTTTAACACGTGGTGACGCTTTAACACGTGGTGACGCTTTAACACGTGGTGTCGCTTTAACACGTGGTGTCGCTTTAACACGTGGTGACACTTTAACACGTGGTGACGCTTTAACACGTGGTGACGCTTTAACACGTGGTGACGCTTTAAGACGTGGTGACGCTTTAACACGTGGTGACGCTTTAACACGTGGTGATGCTTTAACACGTGGTGTCGCTTTAACACGTGGTGTCGCTTTACCAACGTGGTGACGCTTTAACACGTGGTGTCGCTTTACCAACGTGGTGACGCTTTAACACGTGGTGTCGCTTTAACAACGTGGTGTCGCTTTAACACGTGGTGTCGCTTTAACACGTGGTGTCGCTTTAACACGTGGTGACGCTTTAACACGTGGTGTCGCTTTAACACGTGGTGACGCTTTAACACGTGGTGTCGCTTTAACAACGTGGTGACGCTTTAACACGTGGTGACGCTTTAACACGTGGTGACGCTTTAACACGTGGTGTCGCTTTAACACGTGGTGTCGCTTTAACAACGTGGTGTCGCTTTAACAACGTGGTGTCGCTTTAACACGTGGTGTCGCTTTAACACGTGGTGTCGCTTTAACACGTGGTGACGCTTTACCAACGTGGTGACGCTTTAACACGTAGTGACGCTTTAACACGTGGTGATGCTTTAACACGTGGTGACGCTTTAACACGTGGTGTCGCTTTAACACGTGGTGACGCTTTAACAACGTGGTGTCGCTTTAACACGTGGTGACGCTTTAACACGTGGTGACGCTTTAACACGTGGTGACGCTTTAACACGTGGTGACGCTTTAACACGTGGTGTCGCTTTAACACGTGGTGACACTTTAAACACGTGGTGACGCTTTAACACGTGGTGACGCTTTAACACGTGGTGACGCTTTAACACGTGGTGACGCTTTAACACGTGGTGACGCTTTAACACGTGGTGACGCTTTAACACGTGGTGTCGCTTTAACACGTGGTGTCGCTTTAACACGTGGTGACGCTTTAACACGTGGTGACGCTTTAACACGTGGTGACGCTTTAACACGTGGTGACGCTTTAACACGTGGTGACGCTTTAACACGTGGTGACGCTTTAACACGTGGTGTCGCTTTAACACGTGGTGACGCTTTAACACGTGGTGACGCTTTAACACGTGGTGTCGCTTTAACACGTGGTGACGCTTTAACACGTGGTGACGCTTTAACACGTGGTGACGCTTTAACACGTGGTGACGCTTTAACACGTGGTGACGCTTTAACACGTGGTGTCGCTTTAACACGTGGTGACGCTTTAACACGTGGTGACGCTTTAACACGTGGTGACGCTTTAACACGTGGTGACGCTTTAACACGTGGTGACACTTTAACACGTGGTGACACTTTAACACGTGGTGTCGCTTTAACACGTGGTGACACTTTAACACATGGTGACGCTTTAACACGTGGTGACGCTTTAACACGTGGTGACGCTTTAACACGTGGTGATGCTTTAACACGTGGTGACACTTTAACACGTGGTGACGCTTTAACACGTGGTGACGCTTTAACACGTGGTGTCGCTTTAACACGTGGTGATGCTTTAACAACGTGGTGACACTTTAACACGTGGTGACACTTTAACACGTGGTGACGCTTTAACACGTGGTGACGCTTTAACACGTGGTGTCGCTTTAACACGTGGTGACATTTTAACACGTGGTGACGCTTTAACACGTGGTGACGCTTTAACACGTGGTGATGCTTTAACACGTGGTGACGCTTTAACACGTGGTGTCGCTTTAACACGTGGTGACGCTTTAACACGTGGTGTCGCTTTAACACGTGGTGTAACTTTAACACGTGGTGACGCTTTAACACGTGGTGTCGCTTTAACACGTGGTGACGCTTTAACACGTGGTGACGCATTAACACGTGGTGACACTTTACCACGTGGTGACGCTTTAACACGTGGTGTCGCTTTAACACGTGGTGACGCTTTAAGACGTGGTGTCGCTTTAACACGTGGTGTCGCTTTAACACGTGGTGTCGCTTTAAGACGTGGTGTCGCTTTAACACGTGGTGTCGCTTTAACACGTGGTGTCGCTTTAACACGTGGTGACGCTTTAACACGTGGTGACGCTTTAACAACGTGGTGACGCTTTAACACGTGGTGTCGCTTTAACACGTGGTGTAACTTTAACACGTGGTGACGCTTTAACACGTGGTGTCGCTTTAACACGTGGTGACGCTTTAACACGTGGTGTCGCTTTAACACGTGGTGACGCTTTAACACGTGGTGACGCTTTAACACGTGGTGTCGCTTTACCAACGTGGTGACGCTTTAACACGTGGTGTCGCTTTAACACGTGGTGTCGCTTTAACACGTGGTGACGCTTTAACACGTGGTGACGCTTTAACACGTGGTGTCGCTTTAACACGTGGTGACGCTTTAACACGTGGTGACGCTTTACCAACGTGGTGACGCTTTAACACGTGGTGACGCTTTAACACGTGGTGACGCTTTAACACGTGGTGACGCTTTAACACGTGGTGACGCTTTAACACGTGGTGTCGCTTTAACACGTGGTGTAACTTTAACACGTGGTGACGCTTTAACACGTGGTGATGC